GATTTTGTAATGATATCTTCAATTCTCTAATTTTGGTGAATATTTTTGTCATTTTTGGTAAAAAGTGATATTTTCGACTTCTTGTTAAAAACCGCAAGTCCGATTGCTTTGATACTATTCATATTGTTCATTTTCTAATGATGTCTTCAGTTCTTTAATTGAAATGTGCATTGCTAACAGCGGAGCTATCTCAGCCGATAGGCTGCTTGTTGATTATCAATTGATTTTTTCATTTCTAAATTTTGAATTGTCAATAAGTAACAATCCCAGACTGTGCCTCCATGTGATGATGCCACAGTCAGGGAATAGTTACAAATGTTTGGGTGTCCTTTTTGACATTCATTCATTCTTTCTTGTTCTTGTTACCGGTAATAATTAATATTAATCTTAATCTGTGTTTTTAACATCACTGTTTAAATAATTAACAGCTCTGAAGTATGAGTTCTGACCAGCTGATTTTGAACATTTTGTGAAAGTTGTCCACATGCTTTGACCTTTACCGTTTGTCCCATGACCCATCAAAGGGCAAAGGTTATCAGTTGATCATGGGACATTTTGGTTATAAATCCCAACAGCTTCTAACTCATGCATGGCTTGCAATGCTCCTTCATTCCATTCACCAACAATAACTTTTCATCCTTGCGTGTTGCATGTTTCTTAACAACCCAACATAACTACCTGCTTGCATGTGAACCAATCATCATATCGCATGAGATTATCATACCTGTGTATGCATGATATTTGAATATTATGCATGATTTTTCAATCCCAGATTATTGTTTTTGTTTTTTGATCATTGCGAATTGAGGGGGGGGCTTTTATGATTGATAAGGTTTTCAATAACTGGTGTGGGTGACTAGCATGCATTGTGATCCATGTGGTTGTGTGTGGTGTTTTGGCCTCTCGTAAAGAAGCAATAGGGATGAACAAATTAAAAACAAATTATTACTAATGGAATCAATGTGAGCTCAATAATTAGGACCGTCGATTACCTTCTGTTTTTGCAATTATTTTTTCTAACTACTGTTTTCTTTTCCTGATTTAGCGCCAGAAAACGCCCAGTGCCATATCATCGTCCTACACCTCCAAGTTCCAGCGATGATGACTCGGATGCCTCTGATTACAGCCACTCATACAGTCGATCAAGGTCATGGTCGAGGTCACGTAGTTACAGCCGAAGTGACAGCTTCAGCAGTTGTGGTCGACGGTGAACCAGCTAATTACATGTCAACACTATTTGTTTACAACATGACTATTTAACAATATTTATTTTATTTATTTGGAGGTGTGTATATAGTTATCATCGGCACGTTGTGTGGCCTGGGTGCAATATTTGAATTTTTTATTTTAAACCTAAAGAAATTGTTTTGTCTGGAAAGTAAATTTTACTCTGCATAAATCTTTGTCCATTACTGCCATTCTTTTCAATAAAATTAATGTTGAGTATGAATTTGGTGAATTTTGTTGAATTTGCATTCTTCAAAGGTGCTTCTCCGAAAAATCTTTGCTGCCGGTCAATGTCTAGTTGAATGTCATAGACATAGGTGAATATCAGCTTGAAAGTCTTTGTGGCAGGTCAATATCAGTGCAGCAGGTCAACAATATCAGGTTGAATGTTATGACAGGATTTAAATTTGAAGGAAATAAGACTAAGTTTTATTTCAAAGCAATAGCTAATATGCAATTTTTTATTGAAATTGTTGGCTTGTGTGTGCAAAGCAGAATTCTGAGTCTTTGAATGTACCTGGCCGTCTGTCTGTCTGTCTGTGTGTTTGTTCTATCAATATCTCAAGAACTGCTCAAATCCCATTGAAATTTAGTATGTGGGCGCTGTGGGATATTCTTATTATCTGTTTGCATATTTATTACTTAATTTGCATAATTATCAGTGTATTATATAGTAAGTATATCATAAAATGAAATATAACAGAAATTAACAAACCTGATATAGTGTAAATTAATATTTTAATTTGCATAATAATTAGGTACTTAGTTTGTATCTCAAATCCAGTTTTATTTGTGTACATGTACTCATCAAAAGTATACAAGAGTGAGCTTTGATATTCTGCATATTTTAATTTTCTCAATGTTCTTAACATTTTGATTATATTTGACCATTCATTATGAGAATTAATACTTATTTGAGAGATATGAACTATGCAATATTAAAATTAATATTATTTGAAGCTTACTTGCGTATATCTTTTGAATTGCCTTTGAATTTACCCAATTCTGTTTGAACTTGGTCAAACTTGATAAAACATTCATTTAATAATCTGTTTTGAGTTGATTTTCATCAAACATGACTGCATTTGGTCAAAATAGCACTTGACCCATTCCTGAAAGACACATTAGGGGTGTTTCAATATATTTACAAGATTAATTGGAATATTTAATTAACTGTTTTGGAATATTTTTATTATGTCTGTTATTTTTTCCAACACCTCAAGCACATGGGAGCTTGTTAGTATGTGAGTTAGTGATTCTCCTCACCTAACATTAGTTTTCTGGAAGTGGAATGGCGGGATAATCAGAGAAAATAACGGTGGATATTACTATTACTACTACTGGTGTCAGAATTTAATTCTCTGCACAAGTTTGTTTTTAAAGTTGTACATGTTTGTGCAAATTTGGGGGTTGAATACGTATACTTGCCTGTATAAAGAAACAGGTTTTCACTGCACCATTGTATTGTGTTTGTCTCTATGCCGACAAGGGATAATGTATTGATGAAACCTCATTCTTGTGGTAATGAAAAAATTATTTAATACTTTTTTAGTTTCATGTTTATTCGTGCATTTCTTTGTTCGTGTAATGGTGACAAGCTTATGCTGCTGCCGAAAAAAACATACAATTTTATCTTTTACTGTTTGATGTAGAAACCATCAGTCAAAATGGCGACAGTGGACTTTTGACATCCACTCAGTTAACATGGATGTCTGCTGATATTGATTTTTTATAACGAAGAATACATTCCCCTTTATGGCTTAACCATGCTATTTCGGTGGATTTGCAGAAGTGGTGGTGGTGGTGGGGCGAGTCATTTGGGCAAAGAGATGCAAAGGTGACTGCGGCCCCACAGATACATGTAGTTGTTTTTTCTATGCAATCAGTTGGGATGTTTATCATATCTAAACATTACACGCAATTATACACACTATCGTTCAATGGTTTTAGTGTACGTCTTAGAATATTTCTGAAACTTGTTTCTGTTTATCATCAATTGTATAACTTGTGACCATCACATTTTCTGTTAGATGGCGCTAGATTCAGATGTCAACCAAATGCAAGGTTTTGTTTTATGATGGTCGTCATCGTGCGAGAAAAGATGTCTTATCACGTGTATCAATTTTAGTGGGTTTATATTAATGCAGTTGCCACCCTGGAGTTCTGTAGATCACTTTATCTTTCGCACGAGAAATTAAAAATAATATTCATGTATTTATGATTTGCTATGTAAATCATAACAGATGTTTGAAATCTTGTATATACATGACATAACTGATGTCCACTTTTATGCCAACAAAATATCACAAAGGGCTTTTTTTTCAAATCTTATTCATGTAATTATACTGCTACACTTTTCTTCTTGTATAATCCACATCGCTTTTATTGAACCACAGTTTTACCTTACACCTGTTACTTCTTTGTATTGTACCGTACAATCTGTGTTAGAAGCCGCATCCCCAATAGAAGTCGCACCCATTCTTCTTGAATAATTACTCATATGTGTAGATGCTCTAATAGAAGCTGCATCCCTTTGTTGCATTGTACCATTTTATTAGAAGCCACAGTTTCTAATACAGATTTTACAGTAATCTTTCATTTCAACCAATCTTGCATCAGTTTTGAACTTTGTTTATTTGGGATATTATTTAATACACAAGTAGCTATAATGATGCGCAAGTTTTAGTGAATTAATACTGTACACATGCAATCATTTCCGTACAATTAGTGTATGCTTTGTGGACCTGATCAGCAGTATTTCATTGCATTTGTAACACCACTATATGTTTTGCATATAATCAATCCATCCATTAATTAATTGAGTGTATATTTTCTCCCTCAAACATTCAGGCCTAATTCTGATAGTTCAAGAGAAATAAATGCAACATGTTGCTTTCATATGGAGTCAAGTACGCATGTGGAATCTCATTGCCACAGTTGAGATTCTTATTTGAAAGGAAAGCATTGCTGTCATCAGATCTGAATATAGTGTCACACATTAGTCTGTTATTATGGTCAGTGTCTGTTTTAAATTTTTAAAGATTAAAAAAGCAACATCATCAAATGGCAAAATGTGTACTTTGTATCAAAACAAAATGAATACTAGATCAGTCGAAGGCTTGCTAGTGTATACAAGGACTGAAGTTCAATTTGTCATAAATTTTTTTAAGTTTTAAGTTCCAATTGTACATTTTGTGTATATTGTTTATATGCTTGGTGTCCTATAGATTTCATTTGGAGGAATATTAAGACAGATTTCTCTCTTGTATTGTAGTCTATAGATAGTAAATAAACATAATGATTCATAATGTGTTCACGTATTCAATTTTGTTAAAGTATTTAATCAATGTAAATTGCCACTGTATATGAATATGGTAGGAAGGAAGAACACTTTGGTTTCACTGTCACCAAGGGTCATTCTCATTAGATACCACAGGCAGGTCTCTGTAATGACTGGTGGAATGCCACTGACTTAATCGGCCATTGTCTGCTTTTCACTGACAATTTATAAAACATTTGTGTAGTCATTAGCAGTGAACTTTTGCCTCGATGAAAGGTCAATGATGCTAGTTTGGTTGGAATTAAAGGTAAGCTTCTGCTTGTAGGGCTCATACCACTAATTGAATTTCCATAGACGACAATGTTAACATATGACGAGATTGCTATATGAAAATGATGAAGAAAGTTGAAAACAAGGCTCAAAAATGGGAAATCAACATGCCAGTAATCAACCATATGAAAAACTAACATGTTGGCCAGCTCAAACTCTTGCAAATCTCAGGTAAACAAGACACACCTACTGTATTTGGATTGCACCTAGAGAAATCACTGGAAAAACACCAAGATTAGAACATCCAAATACACACAGAATAAACCCACAGGTACACAGCCGCTAAGTAGTAAACAAAAGACTACATGTTGGTCTTGCCTTTGACCCAGGTGATTACGCCCTCAAACAGGGAGCACCTGAGAAAAAAATATTTAAAAAATGTCATTGGTTCTTGCAAGGCATTTAAATTAGTGGCATGAGACCTGTAGCAATGATCATGTGCGTGTCAGAATGCAAATGCCAGTGACTTTGAGTCAATGGAAAGATACTCATCCCTAGTAGTCAGACTAATCAACACTTCTCCAGAAATCAAATAATCTAATCTGACAAGATTTCTACATCGTCCCAAGAAAAGTAGGAGACTTCAGGGAAAAAAATTGTCCTATGTTTAAGAATAATAAATAGTTGAAGTGATTTAGTGGTCTTTTGACACTTCCCCACCCTCACCCTCAATTTGAAGATTTTCAGCCATTTTAGCAAAATTTTAGTCATTGATATTTTGCCCTTAGAATTGATCTTCATATTCACTGTCATCATAATACAGAGTGGAGTTGTTCGTATAGGTGATTCATTTAGGTGATCCATCATCTGCATCTACTTTTTTGGTTTCTGCATGAAAAGTACAATCCTGCTTGCTTTGATACTTGGTGTACATGTACTTTGGGTAGACCTCACTTGGATTTATTCATTTCAGGATATCTTTAAATCTCTAATTTTGGTGAATATTTTTGCTAAAAAGTGATATTAAAAATTGCTTTGTCCAATTGCTTTGATATTATACATGTAGGTATTCCAGGTAGACCTCTCAGATTTATTAACTATTTCATGATATTTTTAATTCTCTTATTTTATTTTTTAAATATAAAAATTTATATTTTTGACTTTTTGTTGAAAAGCACAAGTCTGATTGCTTAGATGTTGCACATAAAGGTACTACATGTGGACCTCCCAGATTTGTTCATTTTGTGATGGCTTCAATTCCGTAATTAAAATGTGCGTTGCTAACAGTGGAGATATCTTAACCAAGAGGCTGCTTGTTGTCATTGTTGGTAACAAAAATGCTATTTTACTCCTGTTATTCTTCTTGAAAACTACCAGCTCAATTGCTTTGAATACTCGGTATGTAGGTACCTGGAGTGGACCTCTGTCAGTTTATTTTGTGACAGTATCTTCATTTTATTTATTTTGGGCAAATATTTTTGGTAAAAAAATGCTATTTACATCTTCTTGAAAACTACCAGCTCACTATCTTTGATACTTGGGTGTGCACTGCTTGACTTGGCTACCAATGTTCTTGTAGGACAGCAGAGACATTTCGGTCGCCAGGTCACTTTGTTTTGGATTACGTTTCACAATCACAACAACCCAGGAGTGGACCTATTAAGACCTAGTCGGGTTAGGCCAAGCAGCAGCAGAAATATATGATAATAAAATTAAGTTGGATGCATTTTAATCTTGCATTCTATATGCTACAGTCGCCATACTTGATAAAAATTTGATTATACATGTACTGGATTTTCAATTTAACATCTATGTTTCTAATACAAGTGGCTGGCCAACTCACAATGATGAAGTTTTAAAAGGTTTGAATATCAAGATTGGCACTAATTTGAGCTGTTTGAATTTGTCTAATTCGTAAATTAAAGTGTTTGCAATCGCACACAATGGTGGCGCTCCGCTGCCATACAGGATGACCTCCCTTAGATGATTAACTCCAACATCGCCCTCTTCATGTTTAGGCAAGTTTAAATTGTCTTTGTTTTTGTGTAATTAATAATAGAAGATGTATGCAGTCATGTTTCTAACGTCAAGGTGTTTTTGATACATTTGTATTATCAAGGATTTATAAGATGAGGCCTATATTTTGTAAACCCATGGTGATATTTGTTCTCTTTAATAACAGTATTCATAAACTGTCATAAAATATACATGTACAATTTTAATTAGGTGTGATTTTTCCAGACAAACTTGCATTTTATGAAAATTCAAATAGGTTACCTAAAGGACGGTGGTCGCCAGCCAAGGAACATTTATTCGGCCGAAGCCTCAACATTAACCCTTGGCAGATTTCATCACGATTTACTGCATGTCGCACGCCCTCAAACAAACTATTATAAGATTCACTTTGGCTCATTTCCATCACCCAATCAGAACTCACGAAAGAAACTACACATCACTTGGTAAAATTAAAATGGCGTATTCAAATAAACGTGTTGCTAGCCTTTTCTCTAAACGAGCTTATTACTGATAATCAAAAGAAAGCGCTTAGTGCTGTATCTGAGAAAAATTACGCGTCGAGGGACTGTGTTGCAACGAAGACCGAATCAGGCAAGTCGATCATCAGTTTCGACAGTTTTGTCAGTTTACTAAAACACAATTTGCACAAATATTTAGACATCCCATCTTCCTCACTCACTTGACAATTTTCAACGTTGGAATAAGAAATTTTGGAAACGTGTCAATGAATATAGACCGTCTGTTCTTGACGGGCGAATCATCGCAAAACCCATTCTCCTTCCCAGAGTTCCTTGCGGTTAGATCACCGGAAGTATCTCTGCCAGCTTCTGGTGGAAATTGGGGCGGGGGAGTTGCATGACACGATTGGTTGAAATAATAGTCTCATTTGCATAAATTAATATTCATGAGAAATAAAAAACTCATCTTTTCAGTAAAATTGTGCCAAAATGCTTTCCGATAGCATACATGTTAGTTCTAAGTTGACTGATACCATCGTTACGAGCTGAAAAAATAATGGGGAAAATGATGTAAAAGTATTTTTTGAGACACGTTTTCGATCAGACTCCAGCTAACTGTTGAAAGTAAGCACAGGTTTTCTCTTTACCATGATCATAGCAAGTTACGAAATTCATGGAGAATGCAGAGGCACGTTTATATTTCACTCTAGTACTATTGCTCAATATTGCTCAAAATGTTTTCGTTGACTTTTATTAGTGACAAGTTACCTAATTAGAATGCAATTCGAGAAACCACAGTGTGTGTGCATGCGCAGTTTGAAATTGAACAGATTTGAACGCAATAAAATCACGCGTAGAATTTGGGCTCCAGCAAGAAATTGTAGCGTCAAACTGGTTGTCGGTTGAATTGTTTTGCAGTAGATATAATTTTGGGGCCTGTATTTGTCTATGAAATGTTTCTAAGTTTTGTTGTGGATTATTCTGTAAAAAAATTGCTGAAATTATTTCATCTGTTTGTAACGTTGTTGCTTTGACGATGGGCTACAGGCGACTGACGTCGAAACGTTCCATTCAGATCGGATGGCGCCCTCTCGTGCCAATCTCCCCTGGGTGGAAAGGTACAGTTGACACAGCGCTCAGCCCTGTTACTATTTATAGCCGTGATCTCGCGGGCGTAATATCATGAATATGCAAATTATGAGAGCGCGCACGCTTTTTGATATTTAGCCAAAATGGAGGAAGCGTTTATGAAGTTTGCTGCAAGCCAGGCTAAGAAGAAAAAATCCACTGAGATAGATAGCGAATCGCAGTTCATGTCAAAATATTTGGAACTCCTAAAAGACAAAGGTGCTGGTGTATTTAGTTGCCTGAAAGACTGTGGAAAAGGTGTGATTCAATATCAGTGTGAGCGGAACAGGAAACCGCGCGGAAAATCGACCGGGAAGCCGAAAAAAACTCAAGCAAATGGTTGTACGGCTTACGTTTCGTTCAAATTTATTTATTCTGCTGATCGGTATATGACAGCTTGCATTTGCCGTATTCAAGACTGTCACACTGGCCATAATCCTAATAATGATAACGAACTGGTTATCAACAGAATACACCCCGATCTCGTAGCGTACATTGAGTTGATAGCTGCTGGTGACAAAAAATGCAATAACATCATTACAGATGTGCAGAAGTGGTCTCAGGAGCGTGGACATGTAGACATGTATGATAGAGAGTACTACCCCACACCGTCTGATATCAAATACATTATAAACAGTGTGAACAGCCAACGACACAAACGCAAATGATGCAGTGAGTGTTGATTCGCTCATGAAATCAGATCTCAAAAATAAAATAATATTTTATCAACCATTAAATAATATCGAGTCTGAGACATGTGAGAAACAGCCACTAATTATTATCATGCAGATGGCTATACAAAAAGATATGATGCAGAGATTTGGGAAGACTATTTATTATATTTCTTGACGCTACATACTCAGGTTGGTGAATAGTTTCGAACAGTAATCTTATTAATACATGTTGTAGTATCCTATCCAGGGCAAGACTTCCTTGAGGCCCCCTCTTCTATCTGATACCATTATTAATTCGTCTTTTTCATTTATCTATGCCTTTGGTTTGAGAGGGGGGC